TATCAAAGGTTTGACGGTTTCTAAGCAGGTTGTAATTTAATTTATGTTGTTATATATAACTAACTAAAAACAAAAGAGTAGGAAAAGAATTTTTAAGGTAATATCAAATACATTTTGAATAAAATTTAATTTAAAATAAAAAATGAGTTGTTAAAAGATCTAAAAAAAATTTATTCAATAACGTAAAATATATTTTATTTTCTATAATAATGACTCGCTGAAAATCTGTAAGATATGATAACATAAAAAATATAAATTAAAACTGCACTTGATACATCTTTTGTATTACGCGAAACTTATATAATAAAGAGAATTTTTTAATTTTTCTTTAATTACTATAGTGTATCTATGTAGTTTTTTAATTATTATACTATCTTATAAGTATATCAACATACAGTATTAAAATATTTTATGGAAAGTATGAAATAGATAAAATGTTTAATTTTATTTAAAGGTTATAAATGTTTGTTTTGCTTATTAAAATTTTATATTTCTATAATTTTTGTTAAATTATTGTTTTACTAACTCTTTAAAATTTGTACCGTCAAAATTGGATCGTTTTAATCTGTAGTCACATTTATCAAAAATTGACGGATTTAATAATTGACATTGACACATTTTATGGATTTTGCAGATGATGGAAAGTATATAATTCATATCTGTGAAGAAAAGTGATGATCATTTGTCTTTTAAGGATTTAATTATAACGTTGAACGAGAGAATGATGATAACGCGTAAAATTGGGAATTATTTTGCAAGGATTTTCTCTGACGCCTGCAAATTTGCTTTTTACGCGTACATGCATGTACACCCGGTGCCATCACTTCAGCGGCCGATAAAATGTGCGATGGAACGCGGTTCCGAAGCGGAAACGGGTTTTTAATGTTTATTTTGAATCACATTTGCCGCGTTCATCGGCCGAAATGAGCATTTGAGCGATGATTTATAATCCGGGTCGACGCGCGGACGAAATCCCCGGGTCGTTTTCATTGCTCACGCATTTTTTCAAACCGCTGAGAGCATCCTTCTATTCTCCTCGTCGTTATTTAACGTTTTAAAAGCAAACGAGGGACGGTGGAAAACCATTTAGTCGTTTTGAGATGCACTCACGTGCGTTTAATCGCCACAGATTTCTACGATTTTTTGTTTCGTGCACATCTTCCTGGCAGAATTTGATTACGTTATTTTTTTCATTTATATGCATAAACGTGACAACGTAGTACTTATTCGAAAGGAAGATTCCGCGGTATATTGTGGTTGAGCTACATATTCCGTTTCTATGGATTTGCTAACATCCGTCGACTTAGCAGTAACTACGAACTATAAACTAGGAACTCCGAGACGTCACGTATTAACCAATCGGATCGGTTGGTGGTGTCAACGCTTCTCCACTGTCATGTATAATACAATGCGAGTAATTTTGAGCTTCGAGTTCAGACGTGGTCACGTACACACAGGAATTACGTGAGACAAACTACATTGCTCCGTGCGTGATCGCGTGCAGGGTGTGCTTGCGCGTTGACGTTTATACGGAATGTCCTAGCAAGGTGTTATGTTAGTAACGGAGAATTTCGAAACGATATATATATTTCTGCTTTGTCTTACATTCGTATTATCTTATATTAATAACACAATGGACAAAAATAAAGAAATGATTATGCCTTTTTATGAATTTGTACAATTATCAACGTTTAATTTCAATTAATATCTTTATATAATTTATATAATAATACATATACAAAAAATACCTTTGTGAACATATACATGTATTTCGTGAAACATTACTTTTTTTTTATTAAACTACTAATATATATCGTTCTCTTATTTCGAAAGTAAATTTGAATTGAGTACAATTAAAACATTTAAATTTTCCAAAAAAGGGGAAAATATTTTTTAATGTATAATTCTTGAAGTACACAACTATATTTTTTATGACATTATCATTTCATACTTTTAATTTTAATTAAATAATGTACTTGTCTTTTGTATATTTCGTGTGTGAGTATGTGGGTGTATAATGTGTGTGCACGAGGAAATTTCAGGTAAAAACCTCTATGAGTATGCTCGATATAGCATGTATATATATAGTACGCGTCTGCCTGTTTCCGAATACACACCACGTGCGTGTCGATACACATTGTCCCAGACACACTCTCTTGCCCTGGAGTTAAGCTACGTGTGGGGGTCTACCGCGAAACTACGAAGTTATTGGCGACATATGCGAAAGTTCGTTTAACCCCTTCGTCCTTTCGATGAATATGCAAAAGCAGCGTTGAAACGAGCCGACGATGTTCCAATGCTCGTCGTCGCTCCAAGCAACGTGAAATTCGCTTCGACGATGCATCGCCGATTCAGGCAAGAGAGATCGATGTTCCAGGTCTTTTGAGTGTGAACCGAATCGATAGTTAGGAATGTGATATACGGGGAATACAAACTATCCCCGACATAATCGTATTTCATCACGCGGTTAATGCATATTCCCGATGAAGATATTCTACAAATATTTATACCAATCAATTTTATTCTTTGATTTTTATTATTATTATAATTGCTATTGTTATGTGACTTAAGTTATATCTATATAATTAACAAAGTATTAGATTTTTATATTTTTAGACTCTTATAATAGAATAGTTTAAATTGATGTAAACCGATAAGTCTTTCAGATTCCTAAAATAATAAAAATTTTTTTTAATTTAAGTTAAAATTAAATTTATTTCAATAAATTCACTTCTAAGTCGGTTTTTTTAGTTTATGTTTGATTTTGTATAAAAAGAAGCAACGGAACAAACTTTCTAATCTAAGTAACTTAGGTCGGTCAGCACTACAGCAAGTGTCAAAGACTATCCTCTAAAGATATTACTTTTACTCTGGAAAAAATGCAGTCTCTCCTCTTCTTGCGAAAGAATGTTCGCGTGGCAGACAGGTTCCATTTCCTTGGTCTCCGAAGAGACGCAATGGCTCTCAAATAAGGACAAGGCCTTGAGAATTTTCACTGTGTAAAATATTTCTCACACCTTCATCGATATTCCATTTGCGGCCTCGAGAGTCACGTACACGTACACACTCATATGTAAGCACGTAAACACACGAGAGTTAACTCAGTGTGATAAAACAAATATATCTGGGGGCGATTTTTTTTTGCACCACCCTTCGTTCAATTTTCTACATAATCCTGAATAAGTTCTTAAAGTAGCAAATTTCAGATTGTGTTGAACTTTACTACTATTTTGATTTTAGATTTTTTAAATTATCGAATCCTCTTATTGTATATTTATTTAGATTTAAAACATTTCAAATTTTTGAGATTACTAATTTAGAATATCAAATTTTGGAAAGACGATTTCAAGTAACAAGAAACTTTAAATTCCCAATTGTAAAAATTTCATGATTCTTAATCATAATTAAATGCTATTAATTTATATAGTTCATAAATTTTAAAATTAACACCATTATATGTAAAATTAGCACTATTCATGCTAACGATGTTGATATTCTGTTATTTAATTATTTTCAGTATATTTCAGTAATTAATATTTTTTATAACCAACAGTTAGAAATGCAGGGCATATTATATCAGAGTAACAGATTGTCAATAAAAATAAAGTTTTAGCAAACAAACACGTTATTGATCGCAAAACTTGAACGAATTTATGTTTGCACTTATGAATATTTCATACATATTTTTTGAATATTTACTAGCGTAGGTTTTTCGGGGCATTACTAATACGCATGATATGCGTGTATGTGTATTTGTTGAGGCGAAATATTTGTGGATTCCGATATTGCGCAAAAATGTATTATTGAAATTGTTAAAAATGACAAGAACAATATATTGTACACGAAATTTCTTTTCTAATTCTTCTAAGTTCTGCTTCATTCCTTTCTCTCATATTTTATATTTTCAATTAAAAGCTTTTTTTTATCTATTATATCCCTTTATAATTAATTATATAGTATTTTTAACTATAAGATTTTTACTCAGATTTTTGTTCACCAGACGTGACAATTTTTTCCTATCTGTAACGTTTATAACATATTCCCTCCTCTTCCACACTTCAACGCGAACTTTCTGGTCATTCATGAATATGGAAAATTAGATTTTTCGGTGGTTTTTTTTCCATCACAAATTGATTCCGCAAGTGGTGCATGCAAGGTACGATTAATTCAAAGAAAAAAGACGGATTTCATAATAATGCTCGCAAGTGGAAATTAAAATTCGCTTTTAGAGTAAGTATAAACGTTCGAGTTGCTGGAAAAAATACAAGATTGTCATGATAGCGAATAAAGTTGCCGTTTGGAACATGTGTGCAATTATTGCATCATCAAATCACTAAAATCTTCAAACACGTACATATATCTTTATTCTTTAATCTCTTTTTCTTTAAGTTTTAAACTAACAAGAGAACTAATAGAAATATTAAACTCTGATTTAAATAAAATTTTTTACAAATATATATTTAGATTACACAAATAGATGAATTTACAAAATCAGTTTTGGCCAATAATAAACGGTTTGAAATTATTTCTTATATCATAGAGCAGCGTTCAACTTTTATATCTCAAAAACTATTCGAGATATCCAAAAATGTTTAATAAAGCTTTATAATAAAATTATTTCTATTTATTTCTACGTATATTAATAATATAAAAAATAATTTTGAAAATATAAATTTAAAAAAATTATTTTTTAAAAATATTATAGATTATATGATGTAGATAAACAGAAGTAATTTTACTATAAAACTTTTGTATAAAACGTTTTTTGATATCTCGAATAGTTTTTGAAATATAAAAATTGAAAACTGATTTACATATAAATCGTGATTTCACCTCTTAAAATCACTTATTGATTGCAATTGATATTTTCTAAATTCATCTGTTTACGTAACCTGTATATATAGAAAGTTTCATTAAAATCAGAATTTTACACTTCGAAACGTTCTCTTGTAAGTTCTACCGATTAGATTGTGTGATGGAATTTTATATAATCCACTTACCCAGTTTTCACAAAGTTCGCAAAATACTGCATGATACTCTCCGAGAGTGCCATTTCCAGTCTCGTGTAGTTTTTCGGAAAATGGCCAAATCCCTCCACCCACAATGGAGCTCCGAAGACGAATGGAAGCTCTTCGCCGTGCACCGAGCCCATCTTCTGTAAACAAAACAAGATTAAAGTTACGAGACTTCTACGTTCTTTATCGCCTACTTTATACATATGTGCGAAATGCGTCAAAATATGTATAATGATAAAAACACTTTTCAATTTATATGATACATAAGTATTGTACATAGTTTTAAAAGTTTGCAGAATAAAAAGAGGCAGTTAATATTAGTTTAAACGAAGAACGTACGGTGAAATCATCACTCGTCGTTGATTACGTGGCCAATAGATAAAAATAGAAGCATTTTCTCGGTCTGCTTTAATTGGACATCGCGTTGATTATAAATCAGAAATTTATCGCTTAATACCGTCGGGATTTATAAATTGTCATCGTTGGTGCAAGCTTATCCGCAAGCTCGATCATCACAGACACGTTTCAATATCTCCGACGTTTTCACCGGAGAATTACGTTCTATAGCTAAAACGCGTTAAGGTCGACCATCGCGTCGGTCTGAATTGGATAAAGCTTGGATTCGTAGATGGAGATTATAATCTGAGAATCATTAAAATATTTTAATATAGTACATAGATCATAATCTATAATCATTGAAATTAAAGATATCAAGTACTGCATATGATCTAAATTCTAAATTATTATTATCCGTAAAATTTGTGATTGTAAAACATCTTCCAGATATCATAGACTCATCGATTTCCAAACCTAGAAATTTGGAGATACCAGACTCCGGAATCGATCTCTGAGAGCGCTGTGTCGAGGAAGCTATCTGTTCCAGCAAGCACTGAAATGGAATCGGCGATTCTAAGGCGATTACGTACGTACACGTCCGTGCCGAATGGCGCACGAAAGGGCATTTACCAAGTAGACGAGCTTAGTTCCGAATCGGTACTGCAACGAGTTAAGATGCTTCAATAGTACAGAGAAAGACAGCGAGGGTAAGAGCGAAAATGATAATCAGAACAGAAAAGAGAGAGAGAGAGAGAGAGAGAACAAGAGAGAATAAGGTTTACTCTCAATTCTTAAAAGACAAATAATGTATGCAACAAAATATAAAAATTAAAAAGTATAAAATAATACGTATAATAAATAAAATATGTGGAAAGTGGTATACAAAGATGAATACAATGAAAATAAAAAATAATGTATAAAGTAATGGAATATAATATAAAATAACAATGTAAAATAAAATAAAAAAACAAAGGAGCAGAAAAGAAAAAAGAAGTATATGAAGAAAGGAGGTAAAATATGGAACGCGTAGAAACCTAAATCCAAAACGTCCATGTTACGTATTCGTCACTGTCGGAACGAATCCAGAGCTTTATCGAAGTTGTTTCGCCAACTAGGTTCCGTCATTGTCGAGAGCGTTGGCTAACCGGCAATGTACGACTGCTACTGATACCATTAATTTCATTAAGGTATGCCCAGGAACTGGGGCGATCTGCTACTAGGAAGTGATCGATGCGCCGATTAAGACCGGAGCTCGATCTTCCCTATGGTCAATTCGATTGTTCACATAAAGAATTCTTTCTTAATTGTTGAAAATGAGCTTAGTATGATGAGATTGGCCATAAAGGCATATAAAATTGAATTACGGAATATTCAATATTCTATTCGATAGTGATCAAGTGTAATGGCCACATCTTGTTCTTATTACTCGAGCATTTGTTGAGCTCGAGGTATAAATGGCGACTGCCCCGATCTTCTTTGAGAATGGATTTTCAGCGATTTGTCTGGCCTTTTCGCGTGACATAATAAATCGACGCCGATGACCTCCCGCGCTTGCGAAAAGCCCGAAAATTGGCGCGGGCGTGAAATTAAAACGAAAAAAGAAAGGAGCGGATAGAAAGAGAATAGAGCGCGTTCACGTCGCGCTTTCAACCCTTTTTGGCACAGGTCTCGCGGCCGTCCCGTAACTTTTAGTTTTTATTCTGCAGTTCTTTTTTCGCTCCAATTTCGCTCCTCTTTTCGACCTGAGGTTCGTCCACCGTATGCGCGCACGCTCAGCTGCCATAAAGTCGACTTCCGGCGTGTTTGGCATCGACAATCGCAGTTGCGAGTGCAATGACCGAGCAATTTCAATTTAACGTCACAAATGGAAGACAAATTTTATACATAAACGGTAGATAAACAATGTTGTTAGCACCAAATTTCTTTCAATTATTCAAGTTTACGTTATATATCTAACATTAAAGAGATTACAAAAAAATTATAAAAAGTTAACTGAGAAATTTCCTATACAAATAAGTAAAGAAGGCTATATTCGATCAAGGCAATAATCTTGGTGACTAAAAATATTTTTGTGCAAATCGTATACATATGTTGATTAAAGAATAATTATTGACTCACTCAGGAACAAAGTGCTGTCAATGTAAGCTAATTTGTTCTTAAAATAATTTATCAAAATGGCTTCTAGCTTTTCTAATAAGTCGTTAAATTATGTTTGACCAGTTAAATTGTATTAATATTAAAAGTAAAAATGTTTAAACATTTTCTTGCGCGCTTTTGTCTTTTCGTGCAATTTCAAAAACCATAATGAAAACATTTTTGTTGAATAATGTGAATTTAGTAAAAACATAGAGTATACCAGGATAGGGAATGTTACCGTTTTTACTGTCATACTCTTAGCTTTATCTAGCTTACGGTATTTTCGCTCGCGAGGAAAAGGCGAATTCACCTGTACAGTATCACTTTTGACTTGGACATTGTTCTCTGCGGGAAAATTTCCGAGGACCTCGCTGGATAATCCACAAGTGTCACGAAACGTTAAAAGAACTGGTTTAATGAACCAGAAAGAATGATCAAAATTATTTTGTATTTTTCAAAAGTATACGAATGAAATGTATTTAGCAGGAATCTTTGATTTTTAAAAATTAAAGTTTTAGAGTTATAGTATGATAGGAAATAAAAACTATATTTAAGTAAATATAATAAAATATAAGAAAATCTTCTCTCATATATACTTGAATTTTTATTAATCATAAAAATAACTGAAGTAAAATATAAATTAATAAACCATCTAAACTTAAAGTTATCTTATAAATTGTATATATTTTCTTCGTTAAAAAATAATAACATTTTTTCAATGAATAAATTAAATATTAATAAAAATTTATTATTATTTATATGCTATTAAAATATAAAGATCTAGAATACATAAGTCTAATAAAAATTAAAAAAAATTGTTAATCTTAAATCAGACTGAATAATAAACATATATAGTATAGTATATATGTATATATATATAATTATTGTAAAAAAGCTATAGTTTTATTCTAAAGAAGACTATGGAAAGTTTCTTCGAACATATACATTTTTGTAACTTCTGGTGTTTGACATTCACGAATGCAAACAACTATCGTTGAGTCCACTGCTATCCTGACTTTTATAAAAAGATATTATTCTCTCTCTCAGATTCTTCTCGGACAAAGAAAAGAGAGAAAGGGAGGCATTGTCGATATAGGAGAATGCTTTGAGTTTTGCTGATCCACGCTGCTACAACTTTAGCAGAGATGTAACCGTGAAATGGGGAAAAACAATTCCGCGAGAAGGGCCGATGCGACAAAGGCGAAAAGGGAGATCGGTTAAATGTTGAACGAGAGAAAACGCTAGTTCTGCTGCTCTTCATTTATTAAAACTCCACTTGCACGTAACACTAACGATTTTTCGAAACACGGCCATTTCGTCTTTGTTTTCTCAAATCGGGCAAAGGAAAATTTTCGATTATATAAATCCTAAACACGAGATATTATTATTGCAAATAATTATTTTTTAAATATGTGTGTATAATTTTCCTATCATCACCTACATGTTGTACCTGATTTACTTTATTTCTATTAGCTTTTATACATATAAGGAAATAATTGTATAATTATTGTAAAAAAGATATGATCAGGAAAGTTATATTCTAGAAGGATATTTTTTAAATATGTGTATATTCTTGTAATTATTTTGTTGAGAGAAGAAAGAGGTAGTCTAAAATTATTTTTTTTAAATCTGTACCTATACATACATATATAATATAACTAAATTTTTTATTTTCTTTACTCATTTACACTTGGTTGTCAACTCATTATTAATTTTCCGTTGAGAATATTAAAATATTTGAAATTCCTCCTCATTGCTGGTGTTTGTTACTTAAATTTGTCTAATAGGTTGCTTGACGCAGAACATCCTTCCGCATTTTCGTATTATGCGTGCAGAATCGTCGCGTAAAAGTCACTCGCTCTAATTCGACGAGTTCGCAGACGCGCAAGAAATGCGCTGTTAATGCCGCGTCTTGGTTGAAGAGCGACTCCCGAGCCACATTACGCCGTCTTTGTAACATCGTCGGTCTTAACAGCTATGAAGCGACGTCGACAAGGATTACGGGACGCCTGCGTCGTGTCGAGTGACTTCGCAGGCCTTCTTGCGCATCTTAGCCAACGTGTCGTTTGACAATTCGGTTATAACGACTAATAAATTCATGACTTTTCTAACGTGCTTTTCAAAAGTCTCCAATTTCGTTTCTTTGACTTAATTTTGTATATTGATGGTTTCTTCAAAAGATGATAAAGATATAAGTGTTTATATTCTAAAATAGAATATTTTTATTAAACAATTAACAAACAGAAAAAAGTATAATGTGTAGATTATAAGAAAGAAAAGAAAGTGAATAGTGACAGCATATGTGGAGCACGACTGCGCACACACACGCGAGAGAAAATATTTTATATTTATTTAATTATTTATGTTTATAATCAAAATTTACTTCTTTCATCATCCTCTAAAATTTTTATAATTATTCAGATATTTCTGTTTGATACTGGACAGTTTTTACTTAACATAATTATTCCAAAATCTTTGTAATTACGCGAGCATTTGGATATTTTGTACTTGATATGATATTCTCAGTCATATAAAGCGACTGTAAGCGAAAACGTGGGAAGAGATTTTGGTAATACGAGAGAGCATGAAATTCTACGATGTAATCTCGTTGACGCGATTGGACCCGCCTTTTCGCTTTACCTTTACCTCAACCTTCTCAGTTCGTGGG